CTAGATCTGCTCCAATTCTGAGAAATTCTGCATTCTTTGGTGTAACCCCCCCGCACCCCTAGCTTTATTTCCTTAATATTCACGGTGACCTCAAACTGAACTGAAAGGGTGGGTTAACCAGAAAACTATTTAGATTTTCAGCTAATTTCCAGATCATCTTCAACCTAACCACGGCCTCAGACTGTGCTTCCTAATAGTTTAGAAACGTCACTCCTGAAAGTGTGTACACAATGTGTGCCTGTGGTCATACAAATTTTTGTGTGCGTTTTTGTTGTTTTTTTTTACATTTTGTTTTTATTCTATAAAGCAACTCAATGTTATTACAGTTTTATATTATTTATTTATAATAATAGTTGTTTTTGAAGACCCTGTCTGACCAAACCCTGCAATGCCATCTTAGCCACACATTGCCCCCTTTATTAAAACTACCCACAGACCCCCATGTTATTACTTTGTTTTAATTTATATCTCCATGGAACAATAGACAGTATAGACTAGAAAACTCCTAGCAAACAGCTAGAAAACCAAGGTTAGTCATGGCTGCGTGGATTAACCATCATTGGGTTTGCTGACTGTGGTTTGCATTGTACAGAAGGAGTTGTGCCTCTCCTGGGCTAATTGGAATAGTAACTTATCAAACAGTTGTCAAACACTCAGAGACCCCAGGGTTTAATGTGGGTCATACAGTCCATAGAAGAGATCATAGGACTCTGTGTGGGTCATACTGTCCATAGAAGAGACCCTGGGGCTCGGTGTGGGTTATATTGTCCACTGGTGAGACCCCGGGGCTCGGTGTGAGTCATACTGTCCATAGAAGAGACCCAATGCTCAGTGTAGGTCATACTGTCCATTGGTGAGCCCCTGGGGCTCGGTGTGCGGTGTACTGCCCATTGGTGAGACCTTGGGGCTCAGTGTGGGCCATACTGTCCATTGGTGAGACTTTGGGGCTCGATGTGGGTTATACTTTACACTGGTGAGATCCTGTGCCTTGGTGTGGGTCATACTGTCCATAGAAGAGACCCTGGGGCTCGGTGTGGGTTATATTGTCCACTGGTGAGACCCCGGGGCTCGGTGTGAGTCATACTGTCCATAGAAGAGACCCAATGCTCAGTGTAGGTCATACTGTCCATTGGTGAGCCCCTGGGGCTCGGTGTGCGGTGTACTGCCCATTGGTGAGACCTTGGGGCTCAGTGTGGGCCATACTGTCCATTGGTGAGACTTTGGGGCTCGATGTGGGTTATACTTTACACTGGTGAGATCCTGTGCCTTGGTGTGAGTCATACTGTCCATAGAAGAGACCCAATGCTCAGTGTAGGTCATACTGTCCATTGGTGAGCCCCTGGGGCTCGGTGTGCGGTGTACTGCCCATTGGTGAGACCTTGGGGCTCAGTGTGGGCCATACTGTCCATTGGTGAGACTTTGGGGCTCGATGTGGGTTATACTTTACACTGGTGAGATCCTGTGCCTTGGTGTTGGTCATACTGTCCATAGAAGAGACCCTGGGGCTCGGTGTGGGTCATACTGTCCATAGAAGAGACCCAATGCTCAGTGTGGGTCATACTGTGCATTGAGCACTCCAAACAAACCATTCATTATCTGTGTGTCTGCAAGTTTATCTGCAGAATGCACCATTAATACAAGCATGGAGCGTGACTGACCCTTGTGGCTAATGGCCCCGTGCATCTTCATGAGTTGACTGTGTAGATGCCCTAGATCAGGCTGTATGGGGCAGCTTGGGTGCTAGGTTCTGTGTTTTACTATCTGATGTTCTCGTAGAGGCTTTACTTTAAAACCTGCTTGTGACGAACGCCCCCTTGCCTGGACATTCGCCTCGGGCTCCTGGAAGAGTGTGGAGGCTAGCCTCCTGCCCACTGACTATGGGCCATAGAAAAGGCTGATAAAAAGACTTGGTTCGTGGGATTTATTTGTACTGTTCGGGGACCAAACAAACTCAGAAACTGTGGACCACCTCTAGGCTTGTTAACCCCTGGCAACCTCTCCTGACACTTCAATTATCGTGTTTTCTAATTGTGCAGCTGGGTGGCCGCCATTCGTATGCACAAACACATGGGAACTGTGTTGGCGGCCATCTTGTTGGCGGGAATGCAGGCATCGGTGTTTGGGTGTCAATCGCATGGAACTAAAATCGAAACTCCCGAACACCGCTGAACTTTGACGAATGCCTGCTTCCTTCCCACACATGTCAGGAGAGTGCCGTTCAGTTGGTTTGTTCGTATGAACCGTACGAACAAACGTTACTAAATAGTCAGAGTGTGCGTTCAGTATTTCTTCCGCATGGAACTCCTGAAGTTGACCGGCAAAAGCACAAAACGTCCTGGAACTGTTTTGGGCATAGTGTGTGGCCGGTCAGAACTTTACCCCGGTGCCGTTTCGTCTGTGTTCGTGGGATACATGTAACCTCTGCCGCAATCCCAGCGTGGAACCTCTGCCGCAATCCCAGCGTGGAACCTCTGCCGCAATCCCAGCGTGGAACCTCTGCCGCAATCCCAGCGTGGAACCTCTGCCGCAATCCCAGCGTGGAACCTCTGCCGCAATCCCAGCGTGGAACCTCTTCCGCAATCCCAGCGTGGAACCTCTGCCGCAATCCCAGCGTGGAACCTCTGCCGCAATCCCAGCGTGGAACCTCTACCGTAATCCCAGCGTGGAGCCTCCTAATTTCCTTCTAGCAGGGATTTACAGGAACGTAATTTGGCAAAATCGAGATTACCCTCAATGTGAGCTAAACCTCCTTCATGTTATTGGTGAGTGATGAAGGCGTTTGGTTAAATAATGGCACAGCCTAATTTCATTACTGATTTCCCTTAACTCCCATGGCCGTGCATAAAATATTAGTTTTTTTTTTTAATATTTAATGGCAGTGACCGCTCTAATTTACTTGACTCTTGCTTCCTGAGGTGTAAATTCAAATTCAAGTCTACAAGTTGTTGCTAAACCCTCTCTGGTCCAAACACCATTTATTTTTGTTGTTTCAAATTCCCTAACTCCTTAACACAATGCTTGCCGATGATGCACAGTAGAACTCTGTACTGGTGTGAGGTACCGGTGTGGTTTTCTTCAATATGTTTTCCAGCATCAAAGTGGTTAAAGGAGTGGAGGACACAAAGCATCATTTACAGGTGTGAAGACCTCTGTTAATATTTTATATGATCCCCATCTATAATTCAGTGCGCTTTGTGTGCTATTTGTTGCTGCAGCTGTTAGCAGAGAGATAAATAAACCGAGGAAACAAATATAAAGAATGGAAATAACTAATCAGCCAGAGAGACAAGCACATAGTCTTTCTTTCTCATACTGAGAATGTGAATGGAGAGAGGGTTCATTTGGAATCAATTCTGCTGCCAAAACATTTATTTATTTTATCTACTTTGACCACTATGATAATTATCTAATTATTTATTTAACTTAGAAAAAGGGAAAGGGGGACACCGCAAAACCCCCAAGTCTGTAGTTAACTCTAATTCAATGCATAGCATTTTAAAATGTCAGGTTAGCCAACATAACTACCTGAAAATGTAGTGGTTATGGTGCCATTAGGTTGAGTCGCTGGTCTCCGGTTCTTGGTCAAACCTTCCTTGTTCTTAAGACATCTGCATCTCTTCTCTTGCTGGTGTGAAATTTCTATTTATTATCAATATGAGACGTGAATTCGTTTTCCGTGGAATTTAAACATTTTGTGAAAAATGTGGTTTTCTTTAATTTATCCAAAAACAAATATCTGTAGATTTTGAATTAATGACCGACTGATCGAACCCCAAACTAATTTTTGTTTGGTGTCATTCTGTCATTCGTTGACCACCTGTTACTCTTCTCTATGTGTGAATAAGTAAAATGTATGGATAACTTTTGGATTCATTTATTTCCCATATTGTTGAATTAGTGAAATTCTTTTAGATTTTCAGATCAACGTAAATTGGTTTTCAAAATAATGTTGGCCGAAACAAAAATAATTATCGACCGGGCTGAAATGAATTTTTTTTTCCTTGCACATCTGTAAGCGCTATATCACTAATCCATATTATTAAAGCTCCTTATTGGCTGACTGAAAATACAGACAAATGGATCAGCGCTGTTTGAGCAAACCCCCCAAAAAAGTATTGAGTAGGTAGGCAGCACACCTCAAAATGCAGGGCTCCCTCTTAGCCCTACACACAAAATACAATGGTAAAAAGGACAGGGAGAGGAGGTTGCACCCAAAAATATGACACTGATACGGGTCGGCAACACAGAAAGCTGATAAAACAGAATGAGGGAGATATGTATAATAAAAAAACAATGAATATTAATAAAGGAATGTCCAATATAGATAACATTGTGATCTTTTCAGGGAATTTTATTCCATAGGGATCCCAAATCAGAAGAATTCTTGGGATCCTTGTCTAATGAATGGCTTTAAAAAACATGGATGAAACTGATAATATTCATTCGGAAGTGGAACTTCTGGCGACGGAAGGCTGGGCTGCAGGTAACTTGGGAACTGCTCCAACAGTTTGACAAGAAACTGGGGATGGTGCCCACAACTTGACGACGCATTAATCACTACATCTGCAAGTAGTCATCATAATGCCAAAACTGACTTCGGCCTATTTAGTTTTTTTTTTCTCATTTATATCCTTTTGCACGTCCAGGCCACTTTAAATATTGCTCCTCAATTAGAATTTAATATGTTTGCTAGTTTTACAACCCTAGAATTAACATTATTTCAAAGTTAGGGCAATGCCACCAACAAAGATGGCTTGGCAGATAGAAGTACATCTCGCTGGATGTGCAGCTCGGTGAATATTAAGGAATCTCAATCTCAAACGCATAAATAGCAGCAGGTGATATCAGACGCAAACTCGAGGGAGTGAGGGTGTCAAAAAATAACTTACTAACAATTCCA